ATTCTATCTACATAGGGGGACTATATAATTAAAGTACTATCGCATCTAACTTATACTTCGGTGATGGACATCATATCAAGTTTAAAGCTATGATGACAAGGAAAAAGAAATCACAATCGTAGAGCTTAATATTGCCGGAGCAACAAACGTGATCGTGATTGTGCTAGCCGTCAGCGTTGCTATCATGAATCGCGGCTCAACAAGACAAGGGCATAAGTCCAGATCATTTTCTGGTAGTTTCCCTAAATAAGAGGNNAGACCCAAAAATACTATAGCCCTTAATATGGGGACCCCAAAAAATGTACCCCTACTTTTAGGAAACCCCCATATCAATGTGATGCAGATCTCTTCAATTCTGAGGCGAAACAACTTGCAGTGCAGTGCACATGCCACTTGCAGAAGGATTTTCAAACGACTCTCAATTCTAGAGGCCCCCTCTGTATCTCAAGTGTAAGCCCTATTTGAGATTCATGAAAGCTACTCCTTCCAGCCTCTTTGCAACGCAATCCTTATATCTTCCCGGTATAACGTCTCAGCAGAGGGGCTACTCAGCCTAAACCGTAGGCCCTAACTACTAGTTTCCATGTTCTTTTCCATCAAAAATTTCTATACTCCCCATATGACCCCTAATTATTTCGTAAACCCTAAACCCCTTAACCCTAACCCCCCTATATAACCCAATCTAGCACTGTGTGAAAAACTCCCCACACTTTGGAGGCGCACCTGGCTAAGGAAACCTGCTGCCAAGCCGGGCGCGGGCTCCAGCACCGGATTTTCCTCTAGGGTTTAGGGTTTAGGGATTTAGGTATGTAGGGGTTTAGCTGTGTAGGGTTAGAGGGGTTTAGGGTTTAGATGAAACCTTAGAACAAAGGATTGACACTTTACGGGCTTCAGGTCGGGTTCCTTTGGATAAGTTATCACAAGACTCATCATCATCTTTCAGGGACAGCAGGACATCAAGACTTGGAGTAACACTCATTTCTGACAACTTCCTGACCCCACTTGCTATTCTCACTCATGCCTGCTTCCTCGAAAAAGCACCCTCTGCCTGCAGCAAATGACCTAAAGTCTTTGACCGAGGGCTGCCAGTCACCATCCACCAAACCTACAGGGAACCCCAGATGGCCCCGCTTTGAAATTGTCGCAGGGCCCTGTTTGGGGTTCCGCGTTAGTTTGGACGAGGATACCATGACCGCCATTCTAGAAGGTAGTAGGAGGAGCAATAAGGGAAATCTGAGAAGCCATGCAGAGGCCTCTGTTCAACTAAGCCCTTACTCCACTTCAAGTTTAAGCATGTCATGCAGCTCATCTTGCGAGCACGGGTCCTGTTCCGCCTCGAGCAGAACATCGTATGCATCCATGAAGTCGCTCAAGACCTGCATGATCACAAGGGTCATGTGATGGGCCCATTGGGAATACGGCTTACCCTTAAGTGGTTTGAGGCTGGTTCGAGAGCTGAAGCAGAAGTCCATAGCCATTGCTCTTATGCGAAGTCCTGACGACATGCACAAGTGCGGACATGCGGCGCACAGCTCATCCCGATCTGATTTTCCCGTCTCGCGCAGGCGCTGACGGATTGAATCCGCTGTGGCCTGAAGGACGAGCATCACGAAAGCGACAGGAATAATTGGTATTTTTAGTACTACACAATACTACACAGGACAACATAGTATATCATGGTATATTACAATATACTGTTATTCCTGGTACTTATGGTAATGTATAGTAGGTTATAATTATAGTATACTATGACTACGATGCCAAAGGAAGTTTTGACATCAAACAAAACATACCCAAAGCGCAACCGGGGCCTCATCTGCTGCCACCACCACATCGTACATGCTGAAGTCGTGGGGCGCAAACATGTAAGGTGGAACCACCAGGTTCTGCAAGTCACCCTCAGGTGAGCTATAGTCTCAACTCCTTAAAAAGGGTTGTATAGGGGCTTTTTTAGGGAAGTTTTCTAGGTGTGCTTAAGGGGATACTAGGAATTTTATCTATAGCTCAGGTGCTGCACCATCATAAGGCTTCTCAACGCAGTTGCACTATTGGGGCGTTGTTGTTTTAGAGGCTTGGGGGGAAGCCCTGATGTATAACACCCATGTGATCGTATGGGGGATGAAAGCCCATTAGCAAACCAAAAGCCAGGTTCCCTCCTACCCCCCTGTATCAAGATCGAAGTCGCAGTTTAGGTTTTTAGCGTGGCCCATGTCGTTATTGGACTTTACTGGAGGGTCTAAATGCTTCTGGAAGTTTTAACTACTCGTATAGGGAGTAGGACCTCCTATCTTCCGAGAAGTGTCAAGAAGAGTAACATGAGTCTTGCACCTCAAATCTGCAACAAATTTGGAAGTGTCATTTCAAGAGGAACGTATCCGTCCCCTGCGGTCCCAAAAGTATCAACAAACTTTTAAGCCCCCAAACTTCGAAACACACATGAAGCAATGTATCCGAGTCCTGAATGTTCAGTGTCTTCAGGTTAAACCCTTACCGCCGCCGAAGCCCACACCCGAAACCTAAACTCCATAGATCCCAAAGCGAAAAATAAGTTACAATGTATGTATAATCCCAATGTACAACCCATTCTGGTAGTTTCCATGTTCTTTTCCATTATTGCAATATTACCCCAATATACTAAATACGAGTTTCCACTTTCTTTTCCATTGTCCCAATAATACGCCTATATTCTATCCTAAACCCTAAATACTAGTTTCCATTTGCTTTTCCGTTATCCCTATAATACCCCTATATAACCCTACATAATATAGTAGCTTACATTTTCTTTTCCATTATCCCTATATAACCCCTATATAACCCTACGTAATATAGTAGCTTCCATTTTCTTTTCCATTATTTCAATATTACCCCAATATAACCCTACATAATATAGTAGTTTCTATTTGCTTTTCCATTATCCCTATATAACCCTAATATACTATAGTGGCTTCCATTTTCTTTTCCATTGTCCCAATCTCTGCAGCTTCGCAACGGAATGCAAGTCTGGAACTGATGCGGGGAGCTCCAGGTCGAGCTCCTGTCCGGGAACTTCCAGCATTTACTGGGGGGGGGGGGGTTTAGGGTTTAGGGGGGGAACTATATAGGGCTATGTGGGGTGTAGGGCTCTACATAATTTATGGCTGTCACGGAGGAACGTCTCAGACATAGTGCCGGAGCTGTCAAGCAGCCCGGTAAATGTCGGGTCAGGCTTTGAAGTTCATTTAGGCTTCAGGGGTCGAAGTTTCTGAGATTTGGCTTCAACCCTGAATAGTAGTTACCATTAATTATCCATGTTCTTTTCCGTCTGATTCACCATTACTGAGGCAATATCCCTATTTAATCCCCATCCAACCTCTTATAAGCCCCTAAATCCTCATATACCACTCGTAATCCTATATAACCCATGCAGAACTCATATATGCCCACATAATCCTTATCATCCTTTTTAAACCCCTAAAAAAAGCCCTATATCCCCATGCAACCCTCATAATCCTATTATATCACCCCGACAGAACCCTCAACCCTAAACCCTGNNTTTACATCCCCATATGAGCTATAGTCTAAACTCCTAGTATCCCCCCTTAATCTCCCCTATAATATACCCCTATATAATCCCCTATAATACCCCCCTTTAAGGGAGTTTAGACTTTAATCTCCCTTATAGTAGTCCCCTATATATACCCCCCTTTAAGGGAGTGTAGACTATAGCTCAGATGGGGCCTGTTACCTCCCTTCCCATGAGGCTCAGGCCTTGCAAGTTTGCTCATTTGGGCCATAGTCTAAACTCCTAGTATCCCCCTTAATGACTTATTGTAGTAGTCCCCTATATGATCCCTTATGTAACCCCCTTTTAGGAGTTTAGACTATGGCTCATTTGGGGCTTCTCGAACTTCTGCAGTTTAGGGTTTAGGAGTGTTCAGGATTTTAGGGCTTGGTTTAGGATTTTGGGGCTTGGGGTTCAGGGTGTAGGGTTTAGAGTCTAGGGTGTAGGGGTGGTTTAAGGTGATGTTTTGCGCCGTTTGAGCTTCAGCGAGACATACAAATCTGTGCTTATCTCCGGTACCCTACTCTTACTACCACTGGTGACTCATTACTAGGACCTACTACTGCTTACTTATTACTTCTTGCCGCTCATTACTCACTATTTTTTGTTACGTATGACTTTATACTCCTTATTACGTACTATTGCTTATTTCTTATTAATTTGTTGTAACCCCAGTATACTATAAAGTTTCCATTTTCTTTTCCATTACCCGATATAACCCCAACATACTTTAGTAGCTTCCATTTTCTCTTCCATTGTTTACTAAACTCTAAACCCTAAACCCTTAAATCCCCTAACCCCTGCAGCAGTAGTCGTGGTAGTAGTGGTACTACTACTACTACTACTACTACTACTGCTACTGCTACTGCTACTGCTACTGCTACTGCTACTGCTACTAGTAGTAGTAGTAGTAGTAGTAGTAGCAGCAGCAGTAGTACTAGTAGTGGTGGAAAGTGGGCCTCTCTCTGCGTTGTCTCGAGGCCCCCGGCGGCGCAGTAGAGAAGCGAAGCTGTGCTGTGACCCTGGCAAACCTTCCTGAGTCATACTGTTGATGGATGAAATTTAGCACCACCTAGGGGCCCTAAACTACTGTCACTCCTAGGACTTTAAGGACTTTAAGTGGTGCAGGATTTCCTCCATCAACAGTAGTTTTAAAAAATATCTGAGCTTAGGGTTCAGGGTATATACATATAGATACCCTACACCCCACACGTGGGTTCCGGGGGGGGGGACCATATATAGATATATCTGGTCATATATACATATATACACACACGCGCGCATATGGATTTAGGGTTTAGGGCGGCGTAGGATTTAGGGTTTAAAGCTCAGAGTTTATTGACTGGGGCTTCGTGTTCGTGCTCTAGGGCCTGGAAAGGAAAGAAAGGGGTAGTAGCCCAATAACGAAGAATCCAATGGACAAGATAATGGAAAATGGAATGGCAGCTGGGGTTATGCAGGGCTTTATCGGGAATAGGGTCTTCTAAAATTAGGGGTACTTTTTGGGGGTCCCTGATCTACAGTACTTTGGGATCCATGTTGGGGTTCCCCATAGATGGAAACTAGCACTTGAATCACTGACAGCTGCAGTTCTGTTGTTAGATCTGGAGTTGAGGGCACAGCGGCAACACCAACCCTAAACCCTGAACCCTGAACCCTAAACCCTAAACCCTAAACCCCAGTACTGCCATGGCAACATTTGCATCCCGGCAGGACCTTCGCTAATCCCAGTTTATGCTTCCATTCCCTAAGCCGGAAACCCGTAGTAGTTTCAAGTTCCTGTTCCATTTCCTAAACTTTAAACCCTAAATCAAATCCTAAACCTATATGAGCCGTATATAGCCGTATATATCCCAATATATGCCCGAGAAACCCCTGGGGAAAGCCCCACGGCTGTGTCGAGCGGCTCGAAGAAGAATCGACACAGTCTGGATCTTGCGTAGGAAGGCTCGCAGCTGTCGACGAAGTACACCCAGAGGTGATAGCCTAAGCAAGGGCTGTTTGCAAGCTGGGGGTCTGCGGGATGGATCACGATAGTTCTGAGGTTGAAGCGCGTCCAGTCCAGACTGTTGAGCAGCCGTGATCCTCAGCTTTCGTCATGTGACTCGTCTCTGGAGGCAAACACATATCTGCAAGGCCCCCACTTCGAGCGTAACGCCACTGCCTGTAGCAGAGCTGAAGACCCATGATTTTATCACATGTACACAGAGCTCGACAGCATCTAGCACAGTCACAGCATGTTAACCATAGTTTGGACTCCGAGTATCCCCCTTAATGTCCCCAATAGTTGTCTCCTATATAATCCTCTAAAAAGCCCGCTTCAAGGAATCTAGACAATGGCTCATGTGGCCTAACAATGTGCGGCGACTCGGCATTCCCAGTCAGGGCACGCATGGCCCGGAACTGCCTGTCACACATCGCTTGGAATCGCTATCCCTTGCAAACAAATTTCGGCGTGCTTTAGTACTGGGATCCTCTCCAATGTGTTTTGGCACGCGCCTTAAACAGTTGCAGGAGAACGTTTGAAGGTCCCATTTAAAGTGTTTTCGTTTGGGGCCCATCAGAATCCAGATCATCCCCTTTGAATTGTTCCCCAGGGCCCTCAGGACTGCGTGGCCAACTTTTCAAATCTAATCCCCGCCATGCCGGGCCAGATTCCCAAGCGTGTCAGGCAGAAGAATTCATGCCATAAGGTACCATATAGTCTATCATAGTATACCAAAATAATACATACCAAAAATACTATAATATACCAAAATATACAACAAGATATAATATACTAAAATATACTATACTATGGTATAATATACTATAATGTAGTATAAGAGGGTATAATATACTATAATACAGTATAACAATGCCCGTACCCGGAGCCTTTTCTTGGGCGACAGCCGCGAGGCAGCAGCCAAGCTCAAAGCAGCCACAGGAAGTGCAAAGGTCGTCGATGCACCTCGTGGGCTCACTGGGCTTATAAGGCTTATTAAGGCTCATCAGGGGTCTAAGGGTCTAGGGTTTAGGGTTTAGGGCTAAGGGTACTAGTTATTGCGGGTCTATTTGGGTCTATGAGGCTTATAATCCTCATGTTGCGGCTCCCGGCATGAATCAAGGCAGGCGCTGGTTGTCATCATATGGGTAGTTCCCGAAATTAGGGGGGTACCTTTAATTTTTTGGGGTCTATATTGGGGTCCCCAAATTTGGGGGAAACCACCATATGGGTAGTTCCCAAGGTTAGGGTCCCATTTTGGTACATATATATATATAAATATGCATATATTGGGTGCCGTAATCTAGTCTACAGCAAACAGGGCCCATCATTTTGAGAACAGCCAATATGCCATCATGCTGATCCAGCAAATGCTGGTCCATATCGAAGCATATGTGCACGCAGCAGGAAGCCGCCACCTGCGCGCCTTGTTTTGGAGGTACCAAGGGTGTAGGGCTCCTGGAATCTTGCGGGCATACCTGGGATGCGGTGACAAGCATTCATCTTAAGTCCCTTACGTGGACGACTCATGGCGGTCGCTTGTCCATTGCATTAGGAGCACCAGCGGCCCGGGCAAACCCAGTTTCAGGGGTTGGGCAGCAAGCATGGCGTCAGAGCGCTACGGAAGGCCTCTACACTGTGCAACGCGGCCAAGCAGGGCTCCTTACAATCCCAGCAAATTTACTGCAAAAGTCCAATCCTTAGTCCCGCGTACACTCATAGTCTCCAGCAGAGTAAGACTTTTTCTACAGCCACGGGCCCAAGATGGTACTGGAACTCACAGCACAAAGCTCGAGCCCGAAGCCACGGCCATCGCAAGTTTTCACTTGAGACTTGTGCAGACACGGGATCATAATGACGAAGACGACTAAGAAGACTATGACGCTTGCTGTAAGGAGATCTTCACAGTTGTCAGAGTCACAGGACCAGGAAGAGCAATTACCACTAGCAGGAGGGTGGGGGGAGGAGGAGGAGAGCAACAAAAAGGTATTCAATACGGCTGGTACTCCCATGCCAGCCCCTTTTGCGTCCTTGCAACTGGCAAGTTTCAACTGCCTGGGCTTCTCTGAATGGCAGGCCGGCAAATTCACGGCTCCCCTCATACATCTAGCAAGAATGACCTTTAGGCAAGTTCAATCGAACATGAGCTGAAGAGTGGACCTCGAGGCGTTCCCGAATTGCGCTCTCCACGCTCGCCTCAGTGTGGAAGCAATCATTCCCAGCAAACGCTAGTCTCAAGCCAGTCAAGTCGAACTGTCCTCTTCCGGTCATTTGACTTATTTTCCTCCCAAAGCTTTGGTCCAACATCTGGGTCCATTAAATGCGGTTTAGGGTTTAGGGTTCAGGGTTCCGGCCACTTTGTTGGTTACCGTACGCGCTAAGTTCCTAAAATCTGAAACATCTCATCCAGTTTCCATGTCTTTTTCCATGCTCTTTTCCATCTGGTCCTCCCGTATTTTTGGGGGGATAATACCCCGAAAATCCCCATATAACGCCTGTATACACCCCTCAAACCCTAGACCATAAATCCTAAACCCTAAACCTTTGGTAGTATCCCCACATAATCCCCAAAGGCCCCCTCCAACCCTAAACCCTAAATAGTAGTTTCCATTGTAGCTTCCATTATCCCAATATAACCCCAATATAACCCTGACCTAACCCCAATGGGTACCGAAAGGCCCCCTTAAACCCTAAAACGTGGGCTCAGGCCACGGCCTCTCGGCCTGAGATGTCTGCCGAAACCGCCAGGTCCATCTCATGACCTTAGGTTATAGGACTTATAGGGGGTTTATTAGGGTTATATTTTGGGATAATGGAAAAGAAAATGGAAACTACAGGGATTATAGGGGTTACATAGGGGGTATATTAGGGTTATATTGGGGTTTTAAGATGTTTGTTTACCGGGTTTCGGGTTTAGGGGTAAGTGAGAATGTCTGAAAATATGGTATCATTAAGGACCTGAGGGAATTATGGGAATTACAAGGTTTGGGGAAACTGCCATGTAACTATCAGCCAAGTTTTTCGGTTGTACACATGAATATGTGGGTGGATACTTTAAGGGAACGCAAGGGCGATTCTCAAAACGATGGGTCCGCGTGCGGGAGTGTCTCATTCTTGGTAAGAAGAGGATACCCATCTCAAAGGCAGAAGTATAACCCTCTACCCTATACAACCCTCTAGAACCCTGTCAAACCCTAGAACCCCATAATACCCTCTAGAACCCTATAGAACCGTATCAAACCCTAGAATAACCCCATATTACCCTGCAGAACTTTTTGGAAGCCAGTATTAACCACAAGGCCAGGGCGAAGGTAGAACATCGCTGCACTCCATGCGCGGACATCAAAGCAAGCCTGGGAGCCCCATTCGCGGCCGCTGCCGTCATATGACTTATAGTCTAAGCTCCTTAAGGGTGGGCTAAGTAGGGGATTACATGTTTTTTTTGCAACGCCTCTTTTTACCCACAGCTGCTGAAGGTAAAGGCCCACTGACATTATAGGGTGTGGGGATTAGGGTTTAGGGGGTAGGGTTAGGGTTTAGGGTCGAAACTCCTTAAAGGGGGTTCTATAGGGAATTTAATTACAGGGTGTTATTCAGCGAGATACCAGGAGTTTAGACTATGGCACATGTGAGCTACACTCAATATTATCCATAGACTTGCTGGAACAAGATCATTGGAAAATCAAATGGACAAGATCATGTTTTGTGACATGGATACTACTGTTTAGGATTTAGGGTTTCAGGTTAGGGCTACAGGCAATATTTCACCAGAACATCAATGGGCAAGTGTTCCTTATTAGGGACTATATTATGGATTCTACTAAACTACAAGAGGGACCCCAATTTCCACTATTAAAGGTCCCTCAATAAGGCGAATATTGACAGTAGCACAATATGGACAATGACTGATGTTGGGGTATCGGGGTTTTCGTTAAAGGGGATAAGAAGGTTATGCAGGCTTGTATAGGGTTAGGCTTGCATAGGGATATGGGGGTATGTTGGGTTCAGGGTTTGCAAGAATTGGGGTCCCTTGAAACGGGTATTATAGCTTATGTAGCTTTGTGGTGGGGGCTAGCAAGTTAGGATATTGTACTAACAGAGATATATAGGGCATGATGGAGAATCAAATTGAAAAATGACAACTATGTAAGGACGCATAGCTCATATTGCCCCAAGAATGGAGAATGAAATGGAATATAAGATGGAACATGACATGGAGCCTGGGACTACATAGTGGTCTATAATGCTTAGGAGAAAAAGTTGCAAGCACCGTTTTAGGACAAGAGTAATGGGTGACTATCCTGGAATCAAGAATCCGTTTAGCCGTAAACCTAAACTCTTCTACGCAGCAAACCGCCGAAGCCGTCCCACCTTGATGGTTTTGGTCATGGAACTCGTCAGCTGCTTCTCAGGAAGCAGAGTCTGTGCCTCGGGTCTGTAGGGAATAACGGGACTATCATGCATACACACTGCATACACATATATAGCAGGTTTAGGGTTTAGGGGCCTCATGCGACAAGTCATGCTGCTTGTGGGATTTGCAAGAATCGAAGAAAGCTGGCTTTCATTGGCAGTCGAAATGCATAGGCGTAGCTTCTTGACTATGGCAAGGCCCCCTGCACAGCAAAGAGGGCAGTCAAGTGTCCCTGCAGCAGCAAACATTCCTATGTTACAACTGCCTGCTGCGCTCTGGACCCTATCAGTCTTACACTCCTACCTAATCCTAAATCGAAACCCTGAAGCCCTTGCCTCCATCATGATACGCAGGCCATGCCACCAGAACTGGCCAGGAGCAACCGTGCAGCCGCCGGCCAACATCTGACGGGAGGGAGAAGGAACAAGAGGAATTCTTTGGTTTGAACTGTTGCGGGGGTTACTGCTTTGGGTCAAGAGGGTTGTCAAAATAATGGTCCCTTCCTGGGTCTGATGTCAATAGTTATGGCTCAAAATTTTGGACATGCCCTGAGGAGATCACAACTTTGATCATCCCCACGTAAGGAACGCTTCATGCGCACTTTGGTGCAAGCAGTGCGTATCAGGGAAGCTTCTGCATTAGCAGCTAAGAGTGTCCACGCTGGAGTTGGAGGTATGATTCAGACATATAATATATATATAT